TGGCATTTAATAAAAAATTATAAACCAGTTCAAGAAGAAAGAAAATGTAACTCATCCCCAGGAAAGAAAATAGTCAGCAGAAGCAGATCCAAAACATAGCCCAGATGTTGGAATGATAAGACAGGAACATCAAAGTCACTTTATAGGTATGTCAAAATATCTGGTGGAAAATGTGGGCAAGATGCATGAGTATATGGGGAATTTCACCAGAGACACTAAAACCACAAACAAGAGCACAGAGAAAAGTGCTCTAAACTCTAAATATGACATTAGAGATAAAGAGTTTATTTGGTGGGCTTATTAACAGACTGGAAACAGCAGAAGAAAGAATCATGTGAATTTGAAGACCGGTCAATGCGAGTTATCTGAACTAAAAAGTACCAACAGAAATTTTTATCTTTGTGAAAAAAAAGAAAAGCAAATTCAAGGTCAGAGACCACGTTAGGTGATCTAATATATGTACCATGTTATACATACATACACGGAGAGGAAAGGATCGGGAGGATGGGCAGAAGAAATACCTAAAGAGGTAATAGCTGAGAATTTTTCTAAATTGATGAAACATCAAACTGTAGATCTATGAAATTCAGCAAATCCAAAGCAAAATGAATATAAAGAAAACTGCCCCAAGGTTCATGCTGGTAATACATCAATTAAAATCAAAGATAAATAACAAAACTCCAAAGCAGGCGGGAAAAGACATGTAACATAAAGGAGAAACACTCTACAAAAAAGGACTGAGTTCCTATTAGAAACAAAAACCAAGAGACAACATGGAATCCTAACATTCTGGAAGAAAATAGAAATAACCTCCTCTCTTAGTATCCTTACATGGCAGAAAAAAAGGTAAGTGAGCCTTCTGGAGTCTCTTTTACGAGGGCACTAATCTCAGTTATCCAGCCTCCACTCTGACAATCTTATCACCTCCCACAGGCCCCACCTCCTAACACTGTATATAAATTTTCTTCACACATGAACTGAGTCCAATAATAAAAAGGACAAATTCATTGAGCACTTACAAGAATCTTGGTTTGTGTGCACCATAAAGCTTCAAAATACTTGAAGAAAAATATTTATAAACCAAAGAGAGATACAGAAACCGCTAAAAATAAGTCTCAATAATTTTAAATATTTAAAATATCTATGAAATCACACAGAGCATGTTCTTTTTTTCTTTTGTAGAGGGAGTATTAAATGAGAAGTCAGGGCAGTGCCCATGGGCTCAATGGGTAGGGCGCCGGCCCCATATACTGAGGGTGGCAGGTTCAAACTCGACCCCGGCCAAACTGCAACAAAAAAATAGCCGGGCGTTGTGGCAGGTGCCTGTAGTCCCAGCTTCTCAGGAGGCTGAGGCAAGAGAATCACCTAAGCCCAAGAGCTAGAGGTTGCTGTGAGCTGTGACACCATAACACTCTACTGAGGGCAATAAAGTGAGACTCTTTCTCTACCAAAAATAAATAAATAAATGAGAAGTCAATAGTAAGATAGCTCAGAAATTTCCAAGCACTCGGAAATGAAACAACACACTATAAATCTGTAGGGAAAAAAATGACAGGAGAAATTTTAAAATATATCAAACTGAATAATGAAAAAACAAAATAAAATACAGGCAAGCCAAATTACAGATTTGGTCCCAGACTACCACAATAAACTGAATATTGCAATAAAGTCAGTTACACAAAATTTTTTGGTTTCCTAGTGCACATAAAAGTTATGTTGACACTATATTATAATCTATTATATGCACAACAGCTTTGTGTCTACAACAAACTATATACATATGTTCATTTAAAATACTTTATTGGCCAGGCACGGTGGCTGACACCTGTAATCCTAACACTCTGGGAGGCCAGTGTAGGTGGATTGCTTGAGCTCAGGAGTGTGAGACCAGCCTGAGCAAGAGTGAGACCCTGTCTCTAAAAATAGCTGGGCCTTGGGGCAGGCACCTGTCATCCCAGCTACTTGGGAGGCCGAGGCAAGAGAATCACTTGAACCTAAGAGTTTGAGGTTGCTGTGAGCTGTGACACCATAGCAGAGTGACAAAGTGAGTCTCTGTCCTAAAAAGAAATAAAAAAAAATACTTTATTGCTAAAAAATGCTAACATCTGAGCCATCAGAAAGTCATAGTTTTTTTGCTGGTAAAGGGTCTTGCCTCAGTGTTCATGGCTGCTGATTGATAAGGTTGGTGGTTGCTGAAAGTTGGGGTGGCTGTGGCAATTTCTGAAAATAAGGCAATAATGAAGTCTGCCTCGTTACTCTTCTTTTCACAAAAGATTCCTCTGTAGCACACAATGCTGTTTAACAGCATTTTACCCAGAGTAGAGCTTCTTTCAAAATTGGAGTCAGTCCTCTCAAACTGCTTTACCAAACAAGTTTATGGGGTATTCTAGATCTTTTGTTATTTCAAAACTGTGGACAACATCTTTCCTAGGAGTAGATTCCACCACAAGAAACCACCTTCTTTGCTCATCCCTAAGAAGCAACTCCTTATCTGTTCAAGTTTTATGGTGAGATTGCAGCTATTCGGTCACATCTGCAGGCTCCACCTCTAATGCTAGTTTTCCTACTATTTCCATCACATCTGCAGTTATTTCCTCCACTGAAGGTTTGAACTCCTCAGAGTCATCCATGAGGTTGGAGTCAAGTTC